GGCTTCAGTGAAAATGCTGCATTTGCATCCTTCTCCTTACTGGATCTGCTTCTAAATTCAGTACCTTCAGAGCTGCCTTCTGTACTTAGTTCCTTATGATCCTGCAAGTGATTTCTTTCCCCAGGATCTCCTGCTATCTCCTTTGAAACAGAAGCTCGAGGACTCCTGGTAAAACTCTTCCTGGTAGCACTTCCTACAGCTGAGATCTGGTTCAATTCTGAACAGGTTACTTCTCCCTTTATTTTACATTCTTCAATATTTTCACTTCTACTTCTTGATTTTTCTCTAGTCAGGCTTTCCAGGTCATAAACACAACTTGGTGAAGTTCAAGCACTCGGCTCTAGCAGGACACTCTTCCCATCTCCTTTTGCAGCTTGGTGACATACATTTCCCTCTTGCAGAGTTTTTTTGCTCTTTCACATTTCAGTTTTTCAAAAAGTTTACTAAATGGAGACATTTCCCTTTGCCTCCTACTGGAGAGAAGTGCTCTGCCTGCAGATTTGGGTGTGTGTAGTTTGACAGGTAAAGCTTGGCAAGTTTTTTCCTCTGTACTTTGTTTCTTTTCATTTGCACATTTTTCTTCCCACACAGCATTATCTGCAAAGAAAAGCAAAAAGTAATACAGATGCAGAGTTACTTAAACATGGCAGAACTACAATTATGAGTTCCAAAAATACAAGTGACTGCCCACGTGCTGCCAGTCCACTGGAACCCGGGACTCACACTGCAAAGTCCTAAACCACATTGCCTTTGCTCTTTGCAACCTTTTCAACCTTTTTCATTTAGCCTAAGAATAAATGCAGTTAAAGGGGAAGAAGACAAGAGAGCCCCCATAACACAGCTACCAACCTGAAGCATGAAGACTTTTAGATCCTCAAGCTGGTTTGTGTAGTAATTCCACTTCTGCCACCTGATGAACATGAAGAACCTGTAAATTTGCACAATATTAAAGCAGAGCGATAAATATTTTACAGTTTAGCTATTACCTGTAGATTGAAAATCACCATAGAAATACAGGCATTGTTTACTAAACAGGCATAAAAAGATTCAGATGAAATCCTACAATGTTTCCGAGTTGAAGGACACTGACCAATACACATTTAAGGCCCTACATAGCATGAGTGTCAGTCATGTTTTGCCACTAGAATTATCAGCTCTAAGAGCAGGTGTATCAGAAGAATATACAGAAGCACACTTGAAACTCACCTTCTTACCAGACCTACTGCAAAAATTTTATTTAAATGAGAACTATAAAATAATAATTTTTTAAAATATCTTTCAGTACCCACAGTACTCACAAACTAGTATCATCCTCTTTAAAAGGGAAAACTTGGCTGAGAACAAAAAAACTAATGGAAATAAATTATTAAAACACAGGCTTACTTTGCTATTTATAAATTCTAACAACACCTTACTGTGCTAGCACATAGAACAACAGATTATTCTGGAATAAAAACATGCTCACTCCCTAGGGCAAGCATCCCTGTTTAAAATATGAGGCTATCCAAGGATCATAACTCTGCATTTCCTCCTCTCTTCGAAAAAGCTATGGATTAATTTTTAATACTTTACCTGTGTTAGTAACAGCACAGATTATTAAGGAGCTATTACCAGAAAATGACAAGTCTAGAATTAATAAATTTTTAAATTTTTAAAAAGTATTTATCTGAAGGATTTTATTCATATTTTCAAAATGAACGTTAGTCTGTGGCTGAAAAATTATTTCTAACAAGAAAACAGAACAAGGAAATAGAACCCTGTATCACTGCCAACACCAACCTACTCGCAATAAATAACCTATGGCAGCAAAATTACCTGCAGGGTTTCATCTCTTGGAGACCTAGAACGTTTCTTCCTTGGAGTTGATGGCAGAGGATATTCAAGTCTGGAACAAATGTTTAAAACCACAAACATTTTCTGTCAAATTGCTGATGTCTAAATCCCTCTCATTAAGGCTAATGACCTAGCAAGAGTTGTCCACTCCCAACAATACACACACAGACCACTTTTAAGGGATTTAACTACATCAGACTAGTTCTAAATTTTCCCCTAAAAACTACCACCCTCGAAACAAAATCACAATGATCTCTCCTGAAAATTCTAGCTTTATTGGAGCTCTGCTCTCTCCTGAGAGCCACCTGCACCTCCTCTAAAAGCTGCTAGTAAGTGGAACTTATGTTTCAAAGGGTACAGGCTTTCTCTTTATTTTTTTTCTTTTCTTTAAAGCTTTTGAGGTGCTGCAGCTGGCAGGCAGCAGACACACCCGCTGTCATACCGGAGGGACTGCTGTGCCCAGAAGCACCAACACCTCTCCCTGATGCAGCTGGCAGAAATTCATGTTTGTACCGTTAAGTATCATCTCTCTGGGCAGCTCTGCTGAGGCCAAGGAACAGTATTCTTGACCCCGGAGTGCTTCCCGTAGATTTGCCCTGCAGAATTGTATTCCAGACTGAATTAATTAGTTATTTAAGGTATCTGGCAGACAAGGAAATGCTAAACACACCTAGTGTAGGGGAAGTATTATTATTTAAAGCCTATTTATCGTGAGGTAATCTCATCAAGTCGTCACAGACACCACTCAGGTATATTAATAATTTTATCTCTTAGTGTGCAGTGGCTGGATCAAGCTCAAATCCCACTAGCACTAGGCAGTATAAGTCAAAGTGGGTTTCAAGACTGGCGGAGGAGGTATAAATTTTTCATCATATTTAACATCAATTCTAGATCTTGCCTGATGTATTCCATTGCCGAGGTTTTAGAAAACCTAAACAAAACGCTTGACAAGAGCACTGATGGGCTGGAGATGGTCAAAACCAAGCCATGTACCTCACTGCGCTACTCAATTCTCCGCAAACTGCCTCAGAACCGGGCTATACCATCACTGGCTTGTCAAATGTGTTTGAGTATTCATCCCTTCCCCAGACGTCCCTTGGCCAGAAAATTAAAAATAAAATAAAGTAGATCTGGTGGGGAAAGTACAAAAAGCAGGAAGAAAACTGAGGTCAGCTTTCGAGTCTTACCAGCTAACCTTAGCGCAGTGTCACCTTCCCTTCCCTGAACACCACTCACAAACAAACATTGTGGAAACTAAGTATTAGAAGTTATAACCTGCAGGAAAAGTACCACTAACACTATTGCGATGTACGCAAGCACTCAACCAGTTCTCACGGAGCGGGAAGAAGGGCCCGCAGGGACTCCAGGGCGACCCTCGGGACTCTCTCCCCGCCTTTCACCCGATCCAACAGGCGCTGAGCGACCCAGGCCAAGGGCGCGCACGGAGCAAGCGGCCCGGCCCGAGCCCGACGGCGCGTCCCAGGCGCCGGCAGCCTGCCCTCGGCCTCCCCCGCGGCGTC